TACTAATAAGAGCAGCGTGCCGCCGGCAGTAGACTGACTCTGACCTCCTAGCTACGTACAATGTGATTCGCTCGACATAGAACCTGGGAACCAGGCAGCATTGTTCTTGGGCCGGTGCAACACGACAACAGTTCTTTGGCCGCAAACGACGAGCCTGATTCGCCAGTGCGTGAGCGCACCCTACCCAAAAGCGATCGCGGCCGGCCGGCGACGGCTTCCATTTCTCTGTCCGCTGCGTTTCCCGGCGCAGCAGCAGCATTGGATGGCCGATCGGCGGTTGCACTCCACCTGCCAAGACGGTGGAATCTCCCCCTCCCCTGCCCCGGGCACGGGCAAATCAGCGATCATGGCTTTTCAGCAAAGCGAATTACCTTGCAAGCTACGTTTTCCTTACTGCATGCATAGTATATATGTAGACCTTCCATGTAATTTCTGCTGGAGCATAAAGTCATCATCTGTTCTAAGTACTCCTATACATATCATGTCCTTTTGTTTGACCGCAAGAAAAACTAACAAACCAAACCTTCTCTCCACAATGAACCAATTGAACAAACCAAGAAGAAGACGATCGTCCAAGTATAATTTGTCGATGAACTGTGCTCTGATATCAGACTCCTTCATTAAGTATGTACTGTATGTACTAGCTGAACGCCTTGTTGATCGATCGGCGCCGGCGTCGCCACCCGGTCGCCGTGATCAGCTGCGCTCTATCTCTCCACCCCAGCGACATGGCCCGGCCACCTTCGCCCTCCATGATGACCCGGAACCCGCCGCCGCCGCACCCGCCGCTCTTCATCTTCAGCAGCAGCTTCGCCTGGCTCACGGTTCGTGAGCTCAGCTCCACGCGCTCCAACCCCGCGCGCTCCATCATCTGCTTCCAACTGGTAGCAGTAGGCTCTGCCACGTGATCATCATCGCCACCGCCATAGTTGTCGTTGTAGTCTGCAAAAGAAGCCATGGCGTCGCAGATCTCCGTGCCCAGGTGGTTCCCCTCGATGGCGAGCCTCTCGGCGCTGTCGGCAGGGAGGCACTCGTGCAGCGAGTCGAACACCGCGGCGAAGTACCGCAGGCTGGCCGTGAACGCAGGAAGCACGCTTGATGAGCGTCCTCTCGACGTGGCATTGCCGCCGCCACCGCCGCTGCCGCTGCCATCTTTCTCTACCAAGAACACCAGGGACGGATTGAGGGAGCGGATGCGAGCCAACAACGCGCTGCACTCTTCTTCTCTTGTACTGCTTGTCATCGAGCTCTGTGCTGCTGCCGGGAACACCAGGTTGACGACCACGGTCGCGTCGTCATCGACCTTGATGCAGCCACTGTCTGGACCATCGTCCACGATGCCCTCGAACTCCAACCTTAGGTTGGGGCACCCGCTCGCGAACCGCGCCAGCCGCGCCTCCGTTTGCCTCAGCTCGTCGGGGCTCGTGCCGAGGCCGGTGATTCGCAGGGAAACCGGCTTGGCGCAGTCGCCATCGCCGTCGTCGTGTGAGCTGCTGCTGCTCGTGCTCGCGGCGGCGGCGTGCGACAGGGACTGGATCAGGGAGGGCCACTGGAAGCCGTACGACACGTCGAAGTCGACGACGTGGAGGCGCCGGCGGCCGCCGCTCTCGAACGCCTCCACGATCGCCTGGTTCGCCGTGAAGTGCGCCAGCTGGTAGATCGGGGACGCCTGGTAGAACATGGTGTACGCCAGGAACCGCTCGGCGCGCGTCGGCAGCGCGGCCGAGGCCGCCGCAGGCGACGACGACGACGACCGGACGACGAGCCTCGACGATGCCAGCGCGTCCGCGAAGTAGGCCGCGACGCGCTGCGCGGGGTCGCCGCCGCGGAACGACGCGCGCCGGCAGACCTCGTGCAGGGCCGCGGCGGCCGCGTGCGCGTCGCCGGACTCCGCCGCGGCCACCGACGAGAGAAGCAAGTGCATGAGCCGCAGGCCGCCGCTACCGTCATCGGGAGCTGCAGCGGCTACCCTCGGATCGTCGGCCTCCAACTTGGCCATCATCCGTTCCCTGGCCTGTAGAAGCCTCACGACCCTGCTGTGGTGGTCTCCGCCATCGCAGCTCATCGCGTCGTCGACGACGATGCTGTCCCGCAGTAGCTTGCACTTCTTGGTCGTGCCGGTGCCACCATTGATGGCTAGACTCAACGTCAGGTTCATCTACACCTTCCAGCGTACCTACACGATCCTCACAGTTGCTCCTCGCACCAAAATGGCCGACGGCGACGGCGAGGATGACGATGATGGGGATCGGAAGGGAGGGAGGAAGGGGGGTACGGCGCGAGAGCTATATATATATGATGAAGTCAAGCCAGCAAAGGAATCTAGGAGATCTTGGCAAGAGGAGAAAGAGGGAATAGCGTGTAGCTTTGGATGCAAGAAATGCTTCCATATGCTGCCCGGTTCGTTTTGGCTTGTTCCCGGCGACGTGGCCTTGGATTCAAGGATAGGATATGCTGGGGGAGGGGAGCGTTCGTTGGCTGCCGCCTCTTTGTTTTATGCAGGCACAATAGCGATTCTTTCCTTAACTATTACTCGAGGCTCAATTTCATCTCTAAACTTTCAAAATGACTGTTTAGATCCTCAAACTTTAGTTTTATGATCAATTTCATCCTACAGCTACGAAGGAAGAAGATCATTTTAGTCCTCAAACTTTGCATTTTGGGATCAATTTCATCCATAAACTATCAAAGTGCATTTAACTTTTATTTTCAACTCAATTTTGTCTATTCAAAAAGAGAACCTTATATTTTAGACACAATTTCATCCATAAATTATCAAAATTATAGATCTGCTATTGTTTCAATATATCCATGTATTCTTAATGAATAAATAGTATTCGATGCAACTGTAATTGCTCCCGTAATATCATTTAGTCGCATATATATAAATGGTACCATTATAAGGTAACATTAAAAATAATAGCTTGAAATTAGTAATGACCACGAAAGAGTTTTTGGATGAATATTATTTTTCTATCTCCAATCGTTGATGGTGTTCGAGCTAATCAGGTGCAACAGTACAGCGTTCCACGTAGAACGTAGACAATATTGTGTTGAAAATAAAAGTTTAAAGAACAAAATACACTTTGATAGTTTATAAATGAAATCAAACCCAAAATGCAAAGTTCGAGGACTAAAACGATAGGATGAAATTGAGCCTCAAAGTAAAGTTTGAGGACTAAAACGGCCGTTTTAAAAGTTTAAGGACGAAACTGAGCCTCGAGAAATAGTTGAGGAACCAAAATGGCTATTCCACCTTTTATGCAAGGAGGATCTTCCTGTCTACCGGCATCAGGCCACCAGCCCACCACTCCCTGGCCTTACATGGAAACATTGTTCAAAGATAGTGTTAACAAACAATCTTCTGGGGCTAATGCAGAATAGAGACTAGTTTATACGACGCAGGTGTACGTACTATCTGTCGTATGTATGCTTTGGATGGCATCTTCTCCGTGCTGCAAGGTGTGCTTTTACACTGTAGTCTGGCTTACCAACGCAAGTTGGGCCTATAGCAGTAACCACGACAAACCTCGCTCGGTGGGTACAATTTCTATACGGCTTAATTCAGTCATCGGACTCTGGATTTCGCTTCTAAGTTGGCACAAGACATTGACCCGGGCATCATCGTATACGTCAAGGCCACTTGAGCTGAGCATACGTTCTGTGGACTTGACTTTGCGTGTTTGGACATGAGCGTGGAACCGGTAAAATTTGTGGAAAGGGGTGGCTGCTGAATGCTGATTGGAAGGGAGGTGAAAAAGGCGCCGGCAAGAAGATGCGACGAAGGGAAGGCAGTGGACCCTTTAAGCGAAAACCGGAAGGGCCATAGCATAGCGTAGAGGGGGGGCAGGCATATGCGACCAAGAAAAGGAGCTAAAAAGGGGCATCCCGGAGATGGAGACGCTCGAGTCCACCGGATAGACTACCTACCGTCGCTGAGGTCCGCCGGTCGCACTGCCCTCCGTTCTAGAAACCATGGTCCTACTCCTACACATATGCGACAGTTGGATCATTCTGTGCTCTCTAGCCTTTGTTTACATTTTGGTTTCCGGACATTTGGCTACTTCGCTGGCAGGTGTTTATTCCTGACGTGATGACGGAAAACGCCGTAGCTGGTTCCAAACCCCACCGTGCAGTAGGCGGCGTAACAGCATGACGAATTGACGACCCATTGGCATGCGGATACATATTACAAAGGGTAGGCAATGTAAGGGAAAGGTCAGCGAAAAGAATAGTTGGTTCGTGCCACCTGTACAACTTTGAAAGGGTCAAGAGGCCGCGGTAGAAGAAAGAATAGATCGAACTTGTTATGCATACAACATTTTGTATTTCTCCGCAACAGTAGTACACGATGTTCTTTTGCTGGTACAACTAAGCACCCGTCACGGAAACTTAACAACGTACAAAGTCCAAGAGCCAGATTGTCATGCATCATCATTGTAACACAGATCCTCGATAAGGTCGGCGTTCATCATGTCATTCTGACCCAGCACGATTCTATTCTATTTATTGATCCACAGTTCTAGAATACAAAGTAACATTCGTCCTATACCTACCGAGCTGTACTACAGTCACCTTTTTACAGTACTGAAAACTTTGGTCATAAGCATGGAAAATTCTCGCGAAATAACAGTGCTTCAGAACGGATAGCACTTTGTACAAGATGCACGTACGGTTGGATTCCAAAATTCTTCAATTGCAATTGTCTCTAGAATGGATCAGTACTCTAGGAAATGCAGCAAGTGCAATGCTAAATATCGGGAATCCTAATACAACTCTCATCACCACTAACTAGTATTTGCTATAGTTTCATATATGTATATGGTTTTTCATTTTTCATTTTTCTGTTCAAAGTTTCAGATGGAAAATTGACGGCAATTCAGGCTTTTGAGTTTTATCTGCTCTGTATTTTGATACATGTAAGCTCCAAATTTGGGATAAGGGTATTACACAATTACTAGATTGACGCAAACTTCTTCCATATAAAAACAAGCAATGCATCAATATATAGCAAACCTCCTTTTCCGCTCTGCAGCTTCCACATTAGCAATCAGCCACATTGTGCAATAAGAATGCTGTGCAGACTCTGTGGAACGTGCACATTGGCAGAACCGATATTGATCCAAAGCCTACACAGAATGACAGAACAGAAAATATCAAAATGGCCAAGTTCTAAATCATCTGTTGATGCAACTGAATAGCATCATTATGTCCTAAAAAAGGCCAGCATCAAGATATTAAGCTGTAAATTAGAAACAAGAACAGTAGCTGAAAAGCGATATCTTCAAACTTGCAGTAACACTGTTTTCAAATTTTGTTTCAATAGAAACACTGTTAAAGTGGTTCCAGTCTCAACAACGGGTGGCTGTGTGTCCTGTCTTTGGTGGCCTCAATAAGACACTAGTCTCAACAACGGGTGGCTGTGTGTCCTGTCTTTGGTGGCCTCATTAAGACACCCAATATAACAAATAAAATGGACAAGATGCCAACCCATAATTTCTCATGTTTTTTGAATCATGCAAGAAGAAATCATAAGATCACACGGATGCGTTTACAAAATATTGACCCTCATTGGCCAGTTAAAATTATCTGATCATAATGAATTTACCAAGCAGATGATACCAATAATTATTATTATTTTATTAGTGAGATTAGTGAGATATGCAGAATGATTCAAGCAGACAATCATACAACTTTCCCTACCAAAGAAAGCTATGGAGCTGCCAACGCTTTGTACCTGGTCGTATGCAACTTAAATCTGGGTCCTTAATGTGCTCCCAAAGTCCTTCGGTTGATTTTGCTACAGTTCCACCTTTGTCTACAATATAATTCGATGACCTAGTGTAGAATAACAGAAATTAGGCATTGAAACTACACTGGAAATTGGGAAAATAACAACATATAATCAGTTAAAATGTTAAGCATGCTACAGCCCTATTTGGATACAAGGAGATAATAGTTAGCTGCTAATAATTAGCTCCTTGGATCCAAACAGGTCTAGCTTATAGTTTACCTAATTGTTAGTTGAATACCAAACTAACTACTATTTCACTAGTTGAACAAAACTAGCTAATAGCAGCTAATATTAGTCGTGGGCTATTAGCTAGCTAATTATTAGCAGCTAATGGATCCAAACATGGCCTACATATGATGAATCAAAAAGTTAATCGTGGGAATTGCTAGATTGTTTCTTATTGTTAGATAGATACCATCGGATCATTCTTTTTACATCAAGCCTTAAAAAATTCTTACGAAACTTTTTCCATAAAAATTCTAGTGATCCGTATTCAAATAGGTGATGATTATTCCATCTGATGATCCAACTTTGCGGCTCCAAGTTCATTTCTCAAAGTGAAGTATAGCTGCAAAAAAATTAATATCAATAGGATTACCATGAATTCATGCTTATCGAGCCTTGTCTTCTTCTAACAATAAATGAATGATGGACCTGACCACTTCATTGTCAACAAAAGTTGCCATCTGAAATAAGACAATCAGATAAGGTAATTAGAAAAGGGGAGTTGCAGCACAGATCTTCTGTGATGTCAAGCAGGTTTTGTACAAAGAAAGCTATACATTTCTATGATACAGTGAACATAAATTAAGCAACTGCATGAAGAGCTGGGCAAGAGACGCTGCAGCTGCACACATTTCCATTACATCAGATGGCCATTGCATGTTCAACAACAGGAAAATACACCGTACCTCTGGTTTTCTTGTCAGTTCTTTTAGAACAGCATCAAGAGTTATCCGAAGTTGCTTGAATAAAACAGCAGTCTGTGCAGCAGCAGACAGCCTCAACCATCCATCTATAACAACCACTCCTGTCTGGAACAAAGACAATCAGTTCCATTCTGAAAATTCAGATATCATATATTATATGAACGTATGAGCTTTCCAAGTGCCCCTCCAAATAAGAAAAAAAAGTACTCTATCTGATCCACATAGACCTGGAGTCAAAACAAAATACCTGAAGTATACCCTCTTCTTAATGCAGTCCTGATTTTTCATATATACTTTTCAGTTTTCACATAGATGATAGATAATACAGTTTCTGACTTTTTTTTACTCGAGCGCGCAGGACAGTTGTGTGTCATTTCATTGAGTATCATATGTGCAACACTATGCACACAAGCTCAAACGCACCACACGACACACTACAAAAGTAAATTAGAACAATAGCACCACACTACAGCGACCACATATGCAAGAACAGGAGGCCCTAGAAACAGCTCACACTGAAGGGTTCCACCACCCTCTACTGTCACCAGAAAAGTCACATGGACAAACTCTTGTCCAAAAGAATCAGAAAATTAAGAGCCTGTCAACTCAAGTGCCTCCTACAGAGATGAATGGGGTCCAGTAGTCTAGTGTTCGATGAGAGGCAAAGTACCTGATGTTGGATTACCATGGAACCACCAAACAAAAGAAGTGAGTACGGGGAAACGACGCTAGTATCACGTAAGAACACCTTCGTCGTCTCAACCTGAAAATAAGGAACAGACGCAGAAGAATAACAGATGTGTTAACATCTCTTGATAATTTGAATTCATCTTGGTGTGGTGACCACAATCCTATATACTAGTATACTACAATAGGAAGTATATATCCATATGGATTGCCCAAATTGGATAGTACTTGAATAAGCAAATAAATATGGATATGCAAATTCCCTCTGGATCAAGTATACAATCTTATGCATAATCTGGAAGGGAAGGTAACATCTAGATTATTTTCCATTGATAACATCTGACACAAAATCCATAAAAATAGAAGACATATCAAATGCATAACAAACTTCTCTAATAAGCAAGTGATAACTGGAGCCCTCGAATACCTATACCCATTTATCAGAAGCATGGACACCTCACATGATGACAGGGGAAAAGGGACACGGAACAAAAGAGGACGAGGAGGAGGAGGGGGGGGACAAAGATACACCTCACTCATGAATAACAATCACCTTGTGGGGACAAAAGAAAAGGCCAGGCATATACCTTTTCAAGAAACACCAAAAATGGATATTGAACAGCTTTCAAGCTGTGATTAACAGATGATGGATGTATATGGACTTCTCGCCTTCCATCATACCATCTAGGACGGTCCTTACTGAACAGAACATCAGATGGCTTTCTTCCACCTAGAGCTCCAGGATCAACACCCTCTAGAGATGCAGCAACATTTGGGTATAGACCTGCACACATAACTGACTGCACAACACAAATGGCTTGTAAGAAATTTCTGTACAATTTGCTCACATCATATCCACCTACAAAGTGAAAAAACAGAAGTGTGGTATGCATAATGGTGGCACGTTATAATTTTGTTACAGACACCAGCATTGATCTCATTATCCCAGCATCTACGGTTTAGAGACAAGCCATCTACCATCATTAGCCTGTTTAGTTTCTAAATTATTAAGTCAGCAGATTGGTTGGGTGGTTAGCTAAGGTTGACTTTGTTAATGGGTCTGAAGGTGTATCGTGTACTAGGAAGAATTATGAAGGAAAACCTCTTTCCTACTCAGACGTGGGCTGAGGCCCCATGACGATCCCTCTCCCTCAACCCTAACAAAATCTACATCACTTTTGAACAAGCAACAATAAAAGATAATTCTACCATCATGGTTACATGGCTAAATATACTTTTGGTACATATCCAAAAGTAGCCAAAAGGGTAAAATATTCCAGGCTCATTCAAACCATAAACAAGAAATAAAGTCATCCCATAAATTTATTCCTATCTAATGTAAGTGAGCTTTAAATTTGCAATACAACTGCATTCATTTGTAAGTTCTGGTACACTGGACCTGATCACTATTTGCAAAATAAATATGAAGATGTATAGTCATTTGGTCAACAAGACTGCAATACCATTACAGAATCGACATTTTCCAAATTAATCATGTGTCTTTTTTCCTTTAGAAGGTAAACAAAGGGAATGACTAGTTTACAAGGGCTAGCAAATGCTAGTGTTACCTTAATAACTGAGGTGCAGCGAGCATATGTATTGAATGGAAGAGACATATTAGAAAACCAGCTCTCGAGATTATTTTTCCTACTCCCCTCCTTAGGCCTCTGGAAATAGGAAAACCAATTCTCATTTGAAGATTGATTTTGATGTGTTTCCATTCAGATTAAGAAAAAGTATTTGCAAAAATAGTTACAAAGAGATAAAATGATATATTAATAGAACTGAACTAGCTTAGCACGTCATTGGCTACAAACCTGCCAGTTTCTTTTAATAAGTTACAGTCCCTAAGGTAGTGTAGAGAATTATGGGAAGTAGATTGAACTTAATATCTATAAGGGCCCGTTTGGATCCTTGGAATTGAATTCATTCTAAGAATTACAATTTAGGTATAGATTAATTAAGCTAATGTAGTTATATATGGAATATATTTGTATATTTATTATTAGGCATACAAGGGACATACTTATATGTTGCATTTCTATTGTAGGGAAGTGAGTTGAAGAGTGTGCTATAAGTTGGAGAATAGAATTATAGCATAGTGATCTATAGAATCCATTTCCATCTCCCACCTTATAAATTTGAGATAGCCTTATCTGTGAGCTTGGGAATGTTATGGAATGTCAAATTCCTAGCCAAATAGTCTAATCCATTATGTAGATTTCAATTCCTCCAAAATGAAGGGATCCAAACGGCCCCTAAGTGATTCATGATAAATTAGTGAATCAGTACATGGATAGTAATCTTCTAAAAGTTTGTTTCTTATGTTTTCTGTCTGAGGAGAGGAAGGGAGAGGACAGACTTGCTCTTAACCCATCCCAATAAAAGACACAAATGACCTAAGTGACACCTTTCATTTCAAGAGTTCTGCTAGAGGCCTAAGAGGTACTTTACAGGTTTAGGGGCTTCTAGGTCAATTCTATATTAAATAGACATACCAGACTATCTTTAGGAAGATCTATAAGTCCAATGTCTGCTAACAATGTACCAAACTGAAGACGCATGTCCCTGTAAAAAAAAATTAACCTGATTAAATACTTGTAATGTATAAATATATCACATGAGAATTTGTTACTTCTACATTTTTTATGGAAAATTTTAACATATTTTCATAACTAATGGTGGCCAGAAGTAGCTGCTGAATCGACTTCATTTGCAATATGAGAGATCTGCGTGTAAGGATAACAACATATAACAAGAAAGAAAATCTACCAATTGCTTCCACAGAATCAGTACCAACTAGCTACTCAAAATGATATTCCCATAATTAATGCAATGGAACTGCAACTTTCCCAACCAATAATTGGGTTTCCTATGTCCACCTACAAGCTTTGAAAACAAAAAATCACACATGATCTCTCAGGAGCATACTTATGATTTATGAGCCTATGCTTATCAACACATGGTCCACGTACCAGCTAAACTGCTGGTTATGTACCATAACCATGTAAGGCATGCATAAAGTGCATAGATCTAATGACATTAAAAAAAAACAGTCAGATGGATTTCAATAAAAAAGATGTAGTTAAATAATCTCCAAAAAACAAAAAAAATGCAGGATCCAATATCTAATGACAACGGAGCTGAGCTCGCTCGATTTGATAGCTTAAAGTAGAGGCGCATGGCTCCCTCGCCTCCCCCTCTCCTCTCCTCTCCCTCTCCCTCTCCCTCTCCCAACTAGACAAAGCGCCCACCCCGCCCCCCCCAAAAAACAGACAACCTTTTGTGCCGGTGCTCACCCCAAACCCGACGGCCACCCCTTCGGCGCTTGCGCCTCTCCCCTCCTCGAAGACATCGGCTTCCACCTCCTCCTTGTCTCCCTCGGAGGCACCTTTTTGTCGTCGGTGTAGTTGCAAGCTCGAAGCTCGGCATAGCGCCTCATGGACCGCCGATTCAATGCCTCCCTTCCTCCTTTACTTCATCTTTGCTCGGGTGACTCATCAACCGCCATCCTACCGCGACATCGTCCTCTCATCCTCAAGCGCAAAGCTTTGTGCAAGCGGCCCCTGGCTGCTGCATATACTTCTTCCTTGAGCTCTCCATTTAGAAAGTGCGTGACATCCATATGGAGGGCCTTCTGGAGGAGGCGGCGATCTCGTGGGTGGCGTGAACACATGGCGCGCCCTCTTGCATCCTCGGCAACAAGGCGCCTTCTCATCTTTCTTTAGCTTGGCCCATTTTAGAGAAATTGGCCGCCCTCGCCACAAGCTCCCGGCTCCCTGTGTGCCCCAGATCATGCACCTTCGCGGTCTCGTCCGGTCTCATGAACAAAAGTCGACATTCCCTGCTTCTCGACCGCACGGCTCACCCCGGTCCAGTGGTTGGCGAAAGTCAATCCGTGGTGCTCGGCAAGGCGTCTGCGTCGCGCTTGTCTCCCACGCCGCCGCTGCCTCCCAAGCCGACCTCACCAAAGAAATGCTTCAATTGTCTTTCCTTCGCCCTCTCACACATGACCCTACTATCGTGAGAAAAACTTCTCAGCTTGCTTCATCAAGTTTCGCCGCAGTATATGGCCCATCGCCTCCTCGGCCATGCCATGTCCTAGGGTGGCCAGTGGCGGGAACACATCTTCTTGCGCTACTAGGCGTTGTTCGTGGGCGGATCATCGGCCTCCTTCATTGGCACAATAAGTAAATTTGAAGCCGCTCTCCTCCATTATCTCATGCCCCCTCATACCCTCTCCTCCCTTGATAGCCTGCTGCGGCATCCTTAGATGAATGAGCAAAGACTTCCCCATCATCACGGTCTTCTCCTGCGGGTGTGGCTCGTGGAGCTAGTGTGGCTAGGGGCCCCGTGTGGCGACGGATCGGCTCGCTTCGCTTGGTGGTGACAAGGTCACACACTTGCTAACATGCGTCGCGACCACCTTGCAATGCCTTTCTCCGGCGATGTGTGTGGCTCGTGGCCTTCATATGCGATGATATCTGACCGGTACGACGAGAGGTTCCGTGTGGCAACGAATTGACTCGGTCAATCACCACTGGTTACTAGCATCGCGCTTCCCAACGGCCTTCTCCAATGGATGTGGTGGTGGTGCTTCGATAAACAACGCCAAGCCCTCTGGAGATGTAGGCCCAAGACCAAGGAGCACAAAGGGAAGGTCACGCCCGCCGCGTCAACGCGTCCAATCTCGCATCATCGCTCGGCGCTTCAAGAACTTGGTTTTCGACCTGCTCCATCTCAATGGCGTCGACCATCGCCAAAGGCCGCCTCCCCGTCAACAATCTGTGTTGTTGAGAAGCCACCCCCCCCCTTCATCATCGACTGGAGCGAGCGGTGTCGCTAGAGTCAAGAGGACCTTGCTCGGGCAACATTGTGTCTGTGATCGTGAAGAGCCCCTTGCTGCCGTGGAGGATGTGGCAGCGTGATTGCGCTTGAATTGCGATTGAGGTGACTCTTTAGTGCTGCGTTGTGCTTCTCCCTCAAGCTACCTGCTGGTCCTCCCCGACATGGCCCTGGTTGATCGTTTGGTTGGGCTGCAGCAACCAGTCCGTTCGTCCAGGTTCAGTTTTAGCCTGCTGTGCAAGCGTTGGAATCGTCTGGCTGGTACCCATGCACGTGTTCTGCCGTTTCTGCTTGATGTTGAGCTCCGAGGAATCCCTGCCCACGTCTGGGAGACTTCGACGGTGGATCGCTTCTTGAGTCCTCATGCTTGGGTCCAAAGCAGGCGCATCCTCGACTCTCTGGCTTTGGGACCTGTCATGTTTCCTGTGTGTTTGGCTTGGAGCACGGATCCATCTCGCTTCCCCAGAGAAGGAGCTCTGGGTTGTTGAGCCCCCAGTGGCTGCTGTTGAAGATCCCCCTGTCAAAAGGGTTTTGGTATACCCTATCGCTTACGAGGTACAATGATGTCCTTCCGCCTTGCTGGACTGACCGGCTCGAGCCCTCCTCCTTCATCTCGCGAAGGGATGATGATGACGATGAAGACTCAACATGGCGGCGGCAACAGATCCGATCTCCTCGCCACCTCCGGCGCCAGCCGACGCTCTCGGCGGCACAGGCGGCCTACCGCTTCTTCTGCCTCAGCAGGCGGGAGGGGCCATTTGTCACACCTATGTGCTCTCTGTTGGTGTCAGCAGGTTCCAACGAGGATGATCAGGTGCGGGACCTCCCAGGCGCGGATAGCTCTGCTCCCATCGATCCCATTGATGTGGTGCAAGTGACCGAGGAGGCAGCGGGGCGGGACCTCCCAAGCGGGGTTCTCTCTGCTTCCATTGATGTGGAGCAAGGAACCATGGAAACGATGGCTGCTGTTAATGAGGTGTGCCCGACTGTTGCTAAGAGGCCTCTTTCTGCTTCCATTGATGTGGCGCAAGGAACCGAGGAGACGGCGGCTGTTGTTATTGTGAGGCCTCGATCCGATGAGATGTTTCCCTCGGTGGCCTCCCCTGCGCTAATGCGCTTTGAAGTTGATGTTGGAGCCGGCGACTATTCATGGAATCATGTGAACAAGGTTCCTGGGCCTCTTCCGTCCCCCGAGCCCATCACTGGGCATCCGGTTGATCTTGGGCCTGTGGTGATGGCTTCAGCCTCTTGCCACCATTTACCTATTTCATGTGGGCTGGACCGAGATCTTCAAGTAACCTCTGATTCCGATACAAGTGGTGTGGGCTTGGGTGAGGTCGATACTGCGCTTTCGGCTGGAACTCCCCACGGCCGGTCTCGGCGGTGTTGGTCTCTTTCGAACACACGCCCTGTCGGTGTGGTGGCAACTGATGGAGTTCCTCCTCCGACCTCACCCAGCTCGCCTGTGCAATCCCCCCTCCTCTGCTATCCCGGAGTTCCATCTTCGGTAACCCCACCTCCACGGCAAGGCACATCTGCAAAGACCTCTCCAGTGTACTCACGCCGACGTTTTCCGTCGGCGCTGCGCACAAAGTGCTTTCGAAGCTAGTGGTATTTCATGTGGGCTGCGCCGCTTCCCCCAGCTGGCGGGATGGCGAGATGACGCCCGTTGGTCCGATGGATGGCCCGGATCTTTGAGGAGAATCGGCCTCATCCGCTCCTTTGGCGCAGGAAGTTCTCCCTCGGTGCCGCGGCGTGGTAGTCCGTCGCTGACTCCGCTGTCGGCGGGATGGCGGGGAAACCTCTGCTTTCCTCTCCGCCATGGGCATGGACGGCGTGGTGGGCTCGCGGTGATTGCCCATGGGCATGACCCGGCGGGCTCGCCGGTGACCCCGCGCGATTGCTGCCCCATGCTTTCACCTTGAGCGGACTTCATCAACAAGTGGCCCTGCGTCTTTGTTGGTCCGCTTCTGTCCCCGAACTAATAAGAGGAAGGGCAGGTCACGATCACTGGGGAAGCTTGGCGCGCGCCGGGCAGCTTTGCTGGGAAAAAAGGTGGAATTTGGCCCCAAGACTAGAGAGGAATGAAGAAGAAGGCAATGCAAGCTGTGGATATTCTTACCGAGCATGAAGCCATTGATCAGCAGGCTCTCGACGACTACGCAAGGCTGTTCGATCAGGCCCTTTCTGATTCACATATTCGTGCCTTGACTGCTTTATTCAACTGGTCTCTTCCTGATGATTTTGGCCCTGGTAATGAGGGGTTTGAGCTTCTAGCTGATTAGTGAGAGAAGGTCTCTAGAGATTTGTGGTCGTATTTTTGTTTGTCATTAATGGATCCAACTAAAATTCTTATCTGGAACGTGAGGGGCCTTAATTCTTCAGCCAGTAAAGACTCGGTTCATACCATTGTCGATTCAGCTCGTCCAGACATTGTCAGCATTCAGGAGACTAAAATGGTGGAAGTAACAAGAAGGACGCTTCTGTCGGCATTTGGCTCTGATTTCTCTGAGTTCATTGAGGTCCCTTCGGCTGGTGCTAGTGGAGGTATTTTGGTAACTTGGCGACGGCATATTGGAGTTTCTGGAGCTCAACGTGTCAATAATCACAGCGTGACCATACAATTCTCTTCAGCTGAGGGGCAACCTTGGTGGCTTACTTGCGTTTATGGACCACAAGGAAATGAGGAGAAGATACAATTTCTGCAGGAACTTCGTAATATCAGAGCTGACTGCCCAGGGCCATGGGTTGTAGCTGGGGATTTCAATCTGATATATAAGGATGAGGACAAAAACAATGCCAATTATAACAGGGCCTCGATGGGTCGTTTCAGACGCTTTATAAATGATCTTGCTCTTAAGGAAATCCCTCTGCATGGTCGCAAATTTACGTGGTCAAACCAACAGCTCTCCCCTACTCTAGTCAGGCTGGATAGGGTCCTTTGTTCAGTAGATTGGGAGGAAAAAATCCCTAATTGTTTATTGCAGAGTATGGCTTCCAATGACTCAGATAACTGCCCTCTCTTGCTTGGTCTGCGGGACAACATGGTTGGTCGCTGAAGATTTCATTTTGAAGCCTTTTGGCCGAAGCTTGAGGGGTTCCACGAGGCAGTTTCAGTAGCATGGAATTCTGTTCCAGCTGGGCCATGCCCATTCATTTCTCTGGACCGCAAATTTAAGGAAGTCTCTAAAGGGTTGCAAAGCTGGAGTGACAAGAAAATCGGGCATATAAATTCCCAACTTGTCCTCGCCAGGGAAATTCTCCACCAGCTTGAGATTGCACAAGATGCTCGTGTGCTCGCTGCAGGAGAAATATGGTTAAAGAATAATCTGAAGAAGCATTGCCTCGCGTTGGCTTCCCTTAAATGCACCATTGCCCGGCTGCGTTCAAGGATCAATTGGCCAAAGGATTTCCGGCCTATTAGCCTAGTTCATAGCTTTGCTAAACTAGTCACTAAGCTGCTGGCCAATCGTCTAGCAATCCGGCTACAACAATTGGTGTCTCCCAACCAAAGCGCTTTCATTAAAGGTCGTTTTATCCAAGATAACTTCATGTTGGTCCAGCAAACAGCAAGGTTCCTTCACCAGCAAAAACAGCCACGAATTCTACTCAAATTAAACATTTCTAAGGCCTTTGACTCTGTGTCGTGGCCTTTTCTCCTTGAGGTGATGCAACATTTGGGTTTTGGGCCAATTTGGAGAGACTTGGTTAGTGGGCTGTTAGCATCTTCTTCTACTCAGGTTCTGCTGAATGGGATTCCAGGCAACTCTATTGTTCACCAGCGGGGCTTGCGTCAGGGTGACCCCCTACCACCTATGTTGTTCATCTTGGTTATGGACGTCCTAGGACACATGGTTTCAAAGGCAGCCAATGAGGGACTCCTGCAGCCCCTCTCCAGGCGGGTTTTGCAGCACAGGATCTCTGTCTACGCCGATGATGTGGTGCTGTTCCTCAGGCCGGAAGCTGGTGACATCAATCTGGTAATGGAAATTCTCAATCTTTTTGGTGATGCTTCGGGGCTTAAAACCAACCTTCAAAAGAGCAGTGTTTTACCCATCAGGTGTGGTGACATGGAGCTGACCACCATCCAGAACCTGTTGCCTTGTGCGGTGTCCGAATTCCCTTGCAAATATTTAGGTTTACCCCTCTCCCTTAAGAAGCTCACTAAGGGGCAGATCCAGCCTATTATTGATAAGATTGCAGATCAGCTGCCAGGTTGGAAGGCGGACCTCATGACTAGGGCTGGAAGAAAAGTGCAGGTACAGTTTGTGCTCACTGCTATGCTAGTGTACCTTGTTATGGCCATAGACTTCCCTCCCTGGGCCATCAAAGCTGTGGACAAACTTAGACGGGGTTTCCTATGGAGGGGAAGAAAGGAAGCAAAAGGGGGTCATTGTCTTGTGGCATGGGGCAAGGCGAGCCGTCCACCGGAGCTTGGTGGTTTGGGGATCTCGGACCTAAAATATCTTGGATGGGCGCTGCGGATGCGCTGGGTTTGGCTTCAGAAAACGGAACCCCATAGGCCCTGGGCGAACTTTCCTATCCAGGTGCCTGGACAGGTCCAAGCCTTCTTCAGATTAGCGGTTGTCTCTAAGAAGTTGGCAATGGGGCAAACACTCTTTTCTGGGCTGATAAATGGCTGAATGGACAATCAATTGCAGACCTAGCCCCTCATCTTCTTGCTGGAATACCAAAAAGGATAGTAAATAAACGCACAGTTGAAGAAGCTCTTACTGATCGTGCTTGGGTTCCGGATATCCGAGGTATCATGACAATGGAAGTAACGGTGGAGTTCCTCAATCTCTGAGATCTCCTTTATGATTTTCAGCTACAGCCGGAGGTTGAAGACGCTCACATTTTGCGTCTTTCTTCTAGTGGTCAGTATTCGGCCAAGTCAGCATATGAGGGTTTTTTCATAGGATCCACTCTTTTTGGCCCATATGAGAGAATCTGGAAATCTTGGGCTCCACCCAAGTGTCGTTTCTTCATGTGGCTGGTCGCACATGACAGGTGTTGGACGGCCGATCGGCTTGCAAGGCGGGGGCTGCCACATCCGGCACAGTGCCCCCTCTGTGATCAAGAGGAGGAAACCATTAACCATCTGCTGGTTTCTTGTGTCTTTGCTCGGCAATTTTGGTTCTATTTGCTCCAGCACTTTGGGATCCAACAATTCTGTCCACAGCCTTCAGATTTGTCTTTTGATGTGTGGTGGGAAAATTCAAGCAATGCTACTGTTGGGTTAACAAGGAAGGGGTTCAACTCTCTTGTGATCTTAGGAGCTTGGACCTTGTGGAACCACCGAAATAGGTGTGTTTTTGACGGAGCTACTCCCAGCTTGGGTGGTGTTTTGGGTTTTGCTCTAGAAGAGAGTCGGCTTTGGGCTGTGGCGGGGGCTCGGGGGCTATCTTTCTTGGCTTCCCAGCCTCCCCCTCCCCCTGTAGCCCTGTAGTCTGGAGGACGTTAGTCTTCGCCGCCTCTTTGTTTCCACAGGCACGTTTGTACTTTTATTTTGGAGTAGTGTGGTGTGTGTTGTAACTAGGGTCTCTCCCTTTTTTTTTTCTTCTTAATATAATGAAGCGCAGTTCTCCTGCGTTTTCAGAAAAAAGAAAAAGAAAAAAAAAGAAAAGATATTTTTAAAGAAGTTCCTGAGCACATTCATATATCTTCTAAGAAATATAGAAAATAAAAATCATTCTTCATATTATATATATAAAACTGATTTAACTTTTGAGGAAATGAACCTGATCATGTGCATCACAGTATTATTCAAGTAGAATGAATGGCAAAACTGACGAGCAGATTTAGCACCATTCTGAAATTCAAAAACCAGCTTATTAGAAATCCTGCCAGCAGCAGTTTCATAATATAATCTACCTACTACACAAATCATGTACAAGAAAAATTAGTATAAAGCAATATAATGCTAGATACACACCAAAAGCTACCAAATAATAGAAAAGGTGTATTATAACAAAAAAAAAAGTAGTTTATGACCTGTAGCAGTATCCGGGACCATTTGTCGTATGCAATTACCATTAGCAGGTGATCTGATTGTTTATTATCTGTTACAGAAGTAGATCCATCGAGGTTCTCATTCAATAATGTGGCTTTTGCTTTCTCCACATTTTGCTTCTGTAGTATAAATAAAAAGTTCATGAAATGTCAGGGGCTCAGGGCACATCTTGGTTGCATAAATTGTTCATCATTGAAGTCACATAATACCTCATCTTTTGGAGAGAGAAATGGAGATTTATAACTCAGAAAAGCAGCAACAGACAGAATTGGTGATAAACAACCGAAGATAGCACCATAAAGCATCATCTGCAACCGCATGTGAAAAACGAATCAGAATATCAGTATGCAAAAAAGAAAAGTTCCATAAAGAATTATAAATTCACAAGAAAATGCATGAAGCAGAAATAGTTAACTACATCTGAGTTTTAAGAACCCTGAAGTTGCTGCAGATTACATACGAAAGCGCATAAGAGGCCACCATATATGGTGGTGGTGGTGGTGTCTGTGGGGGGAGGGGGAGGGGGTGGGGATGGTAAATTTCATATAACTGTATATATATGAAAAAGGGTGTTGCCTACAGAAATCAAAGTGAAATAGACCTGTTGAAAAGCCTGATCTCGATAAGTAACTTTAGCATTTCTTCACCAAGGCTAAATTCAGGCAAGGATCTACTGGTAAATAAGCAGGCCATCAGCCTAAACCAAAGCACAGTCTTGAGTTTAAGCAGTTCAGTTGTGTTCAAACTGAGCTCAAGTTTACGTTGTCATATGCAATTCATAATTGTGAAAGATGCATGTGTTTTATTGTTAGCGAGCTCACTTCAGACAAGCTCAAACTCCGAACATCAGCTTACTCAAGCTTGGATCTTTGACAGACTAATGTGAATTCTTGTACAGAAGACAATGCACAGGAAAGGGGCCAAGGGGGGAAATAAGGTAATATGCACAGAGCATTCAAGAGATGTGCCGTGTGACAGAATCAGGTAGTTTCACCGAAATTTCAAATTGCCCATTTTCCTTGAAAGTATTTCCAGGAGTAGAGCCAGGAGGATTTTATCAACAGAGCAATGTAGTGAAGAGTCCGCACACAGCCGTTCACAGCGGGCTGCAGGAGGAATCCACACTGGTGGCAGCCGCAGGCGGGAGCCCACACGACAGGGAAAAAGGAAGGGAGGGAAAAAAAGAAGAAAAAGGAATTGCTCACCGGCTGACGGCGACGGCAGCCAGGTGAGGACTGATCCTAACCCTAGAGCTTTGGTACCATGTTAGGAATAGCAACTCAGCTCTATTGCAATGCCCAAAGGGCCACATGCGAAGAGTAGAAAGTGCAGATAGCACCCTACACTAATGTCCAAATACATACACAATATATACTTCTAACACAGATTACCAGATTTCTTGATGGATAAGTCTCTATGTTGGCTGGTCTTTGTGGGGCTGCAGCATGGTGGTCTTGCTGCCCATCAAGGACAGCATCCTTGACTGGCTAGGACAACATCTTAGCATCTAGGACTAGCATCTAGGACAGCATCTAGGACTAGCATCTTGGCATATGCTTGGCTAGGCTAGCAGCCTATAAATATGTATCCCCAACCCCTCAGGTTGGCATGGCATTGTGTGAGAAATAAACCAGAAAATTGCCCCAACTCTTAGTGTCATCCTCTCTCGATGAGAGTAAGAATTCTGCTACTACTAAGAGTGAGAATTCAGTGACTAACAACCCCAGTATCGAGCCAGTACTATCCTGTAGCTTCGAGCATCTCCTGCTCATCTCCTTTCCCACCTCAATAACAGCCCAACTGGGCAAGCAGCGACTCGGCCGCTCCTGCTCACTCCTCTCCCTAGCAGCTCGTCTGAAGCAGCCCTCTCCCCACACAGCAGCCCCCCGGTAGCGCGTCATGTCCGTAGGACAGTCTCAGCGCTCGGTCGCCTCGAGCACGCGGCGTCGACAAGAGGCCGAACTTGCCAGCGCAGCAGAGAACGCGAGCGAGCGGCGGCGAGACATAGCATGCGGCGGCAAGGCGTCGAGGCGGTGGCCGGCAAGGCGCCGGCAATAGCCAGAGCGGAGGCGAAGCAGCAAGCGCGGGCGGATCAAATGCGTCGTCAGCGGCAGAGGTCGAGGCTCATAGCGGCAAGATCATCAGCCACTCGCCGCCTGGCACGACAACAGGCGTCGCGGACCTCGAGCTGCTTTGAGGGAGGCGGCAGGTATGCGTGAAAGCGGCGTTGATGGCGGCGCGCACGCCCACGAGCACGCGGCAGCACGAACCACGCGGCGGGCGGTGGCGCTCTGGAGGAGGCGCCAAGACGGGCGGTGGCGCTCTGGAGGAGGCGCGCAGACGGCAACGGTGGCGAGCGGGTCGATGGAGAGCGCGGCCTTCACAGCGGCGTGGCTCTCTCCCGGATCGGTACCGTGGTTACCACGGGCTCCAGTCATGTCGTCGGGGCGTCGGCCCCCGGCGGTGGGTGGCCTACCCTCACTAAGACCAACTACGTCAAGTGGGCTGCGGTGATGAGGGTAAAGCTCCAGTGCGGCACATGTGGGAGGCAAGCGGAAGACGGCGCAGCGGCGTCGACTACGACCAGATCGACGGGCGCCGGATGCCCTCATCGCCGCAGCCCCGCCCGAGATGCGCTTCTCGCTTACCAACAAGCGAATCGCCAAGTAGGCTTGGGGCGCCATCGGCTGCAAGACGCATTGGCGGCGATCGCGCCAAAGTCCACACCGCAGCACTTCGCGCGGAGGTGGGAGAACACGCCTTCAAGCTAGTGAGGACGTTGATGACTTTGCTCTCCGTCTCAACACTCTGCTGCGTAAGATGGTGCGATTCGGCGATGACACCTCGGCGAGGAGAGAGAGCGTCGAAAAGCTCTTCCGCCAGTGTCCCCGAGAAGTACAAGCGGATGGCTCGCTCGATCGAGTCCATGCCGGATCTCTCCACGATGTTGATCGAGGAGGCGATAGGTCGCCTCAAGGTCGTCGACAGCGATGAGCCACAATCTCTCTCGGGGCCCATCACCACTGGCGGGAAGCTCCTTCTCACTGGGAGCGGTGGGCGAGCATCGCCGCTAAGGTGACCGGAAGAAGAGGGGAGCCTTCTTCCGCGACAGGGCCGCAAGCGTGGCAAGCCGCACAAGCGCCGCAGAGACGCCAGTCGCCGAGGGCGAGGACGGCCGAGGGTGATGCCATGCGAGGCGCCAGTATGGCGAACGCCGCAAGCAAGCCTGGCCGAGACGAGACGAAAACTCGCCGCAACTATGGCCGGCTTTGGCCATTGGGCCAAAGGATCGTCGATAACCACGACGCGGCCAGCCCACGTCGCAGACAAAGTGAGGAGGAGCCGACTGTTCATGGCACATGCAAGCATCGAGCTACCTCCAGTGCAGCCGCCGCGCCGCGGCTGCTCTCCTCCACCTTGACGAGCCAAAAGCACCGCCCTCCTCGGCGGCGGCTCCCCAAGAACGACAAGATCGAGGGGTGGTGCCTCGACACGGTGCCACCCATCACATGACCAATCGACGGAGTTCTTCACCGAGCTTGACTCTAGCGTCCGAGGCTCCATCAAGTTTGGGGATGCCTCCGTCCGTGGAGATCAAGGGCGTCGGCTCCGTCATCTTCACTGCTGTGTCTGGTGAGCACGCAGTCGCTCACCGAGTCTACTATATCCCCGCGTTGAGGAACTCCATCATCGACTTGGGACACCGGATGAGAATGGTTTGCGCGGTGGTGGTTGAGGATGGAGTCATGAGGATTTGGGATCGCCGTCGTCGCCTTCTTGCCAAGGTATCCGAAGCGCAAATCGACTCTACGCCCTTAACGTGCAGTGGCACAACCCTCTGTCTCGCCGCTTTCGTCGGACGACGAAGCGTGGCGATGCGCGCAGCGCTTCCGGCACCTTCATTTCGAGGCCTGAAGCGGCTCGGTGCATGGAGATGGTGCGAGGCTGCCGTGCCTCGACCATGTGGAGCGGCTTCTGCGACGTCACGTGTTGACGAAGCGGGCGACTCCTTTCCCCAATGTGAGGCGAGCTTTCGAGCCAAGGAAAGGCTCGAGCTTATGCACGGGGACTTGTGTGGCCCGGTGACACCCGGCCACACCGGAGAGGACGACGCTACTTCCTGCCGCTGCTCGTCGGCGACTTCTCCCGCTACATGTGGGTGATGGTCCTCGACGCCTGCAGTCAGCTTCTGCGGAGGCGAGTCTGGTACGCAGCTGCTGCGCATCTTCAAGACCGCAACCGGCTAACGGCAAATTCACGGCGGTGAATTCGCGTCGTCTCTGTTGATAATGAGGGCATTCAACGCCACTACTCCTCGCACCAGACAGACCCGCGGCAGCAGCAGCGTCATCGAGCGGCGCAACCCAGACGGTTGTGGGGATGGCTCGGGCCCTTCTCAAGCGAGGGGATGCCGGGTATGTCTTATGGGGAGAGGCGGTGGTGTCGGCCGTCTACATCCTCAACCGCTTCGCCTACCAAAGGCGCTTCGGCGGCGGGGCGCCCGCTGAGAGGCTTGGCATGGGCGCAAGTCGGCGGTCTCCCACTTGCGGGTCTTGGTACGCCTCGCGTTAGCCAAGGAGCTTGGCCACATCGGCAAGCTCGGCGGCGGAGCACTCGGAGTGTTCATCGGCTACGCGGAGGGCTCGAAGGCCTACCGCATCCTCGGCGTGCGACAAGACGGTGGACGATGGCTCGGCTCCGACGTCGGCGACTTCAACGTCGAGTACGTCCCACTTCGAGGGAGTGGGGAGTAGGTAGCTCTTCTTCGACGAAGCGTCTACCCCATCCCCCGAGCCTCCACCGACCCCCGCTACTGCTATTCTGGCAACATCACGCTCTCCGCCCAGACCTCGGTACCGCGATGAGTTCTTCGCGGCTCCACCACAACCGTAAGAACGCCACGCACTCCAAAGACCGACAGCACCTCTCCGGCACGCGTCTACTCCAACACCGGCTCGTGTCGAGCACGGCCCGATTGAGATCACTACTCCGCTCTCACGACGAGGAGGAAGATCGACGCCACATCACGGCGGCGAGCCGTTCTTGTATGCGTCACGATGGAGAACCTTCTCGGCGACCGGTAGGTGCCGGACTAGTGCCTCACGACACGGAGGCGCGAGCTTGCACCTTGCGTGTGACGACGGCGAGCCTCGGTGCGTTTGCGAGAGGTCGAAAACACGCGGCATGGCGCGCCGCGATGCGATTGGAGATGGATGCGGTGAGAAGAACCGCACTGGAGCTTCTCGACCTTCCTCGTGGTCCCCGCGATCACCCTTAAGTGGGTGTACAAGTCAAGAGGGATGAAGCCGGCGCCATCGTCAAGCACAAGGCTCGCTTGGTGGCACGAGGTTTCGTCTGCGGCGGGAGAGGGGTCGACTTCGACGACGCCTTCCGCTCCGTGGCGCGGATGGAGTCCGTCGACTACTCCTTGCGCTTAGCGCCCGGAAGGGTGCGTGTTCATCACATGGGCGTCAAGTCGGCGTTCATAACGGCGACTTGAAGGAGGAGGAGGTCTCGTGCACCGGTACCGTCGGGATTTGCGATCCCCGGCAAGGAGGGCAGGTGCTCCACCTACGCAAGGCCCTCTATGGCTTGCGGCGAGAGATCGAGGGCGTGGAATGCCAAGTTGGATTCCACGCTAAAGGGATGGGCTTGAGCAAAGCCCACACGAGGCGACCATCTACCGACGGGCGGTGGATGAAATGCTCTGTGGTGGGTGTCTCGTCGACGACTTGGTGATCACCGACACCAAGGATGCGGAGGTGGCGGCATTCAAGGAAGAGATGAAGGCCACCTTCCGGATGAGTGACACAGGGCCTCTCTCCTTCTACCTACCTAGAATCGAGGTGCACGGATGACTCGGGATCATGCTTGACGGCACCGCCCCTCGCCAAGCGCGTCGTTGAGCTAGTTGGGCTCACGGATCGCAACCCAGCTCTCACTCCGATGGAGGAGAGGTCGGTCGAGCCGCGACAAAGACGACGAGGAGGTGGGCGCTCGCAGATCTGCGGCGTCTTGTGGGGAGCCTTCACTACCTCGCCCACACACACGGCCGAACTTGGCATTCTCCGTCGGCTCGTTAGTCGGTTCATGCAATGCTGACCAAGCGGCGGAGCACCAAAGAAGTCAGGAAGAGGATCATCCGCTACATTATGGGGACTCTCGACCACGGCCTCTACTACCCTAGGTGCCCTAGGGCGGCACACTTCGTCGTGTACAATGGACACGACCACACCGGCGACATCAACACCAAAGAAGAGCACGAAGGGATCCTCTTCCTCCTCGGCAAGTGCCTCGTCACCGGCAATCGGTCAAGCGGCCAGTGGTGGCCTGTCCACCACGAGGCCGAGTACATAGCGGCCTCCACCGCTTCGACTCAGGCGCTCTGGCTCACTCGACTGCTTGGTGATCTCGGCAGAGACACTAGAGCGGTGGAGCTCAGGATGGACAGCAAGTCCGCTCTGGCCCTAGCAAAGAACCCCATTTTCCATGAACGGAGTAAGCACATCCGGGTGAGGTACCACTTCATGCAGGGCTGTTTGGAGGAAGGGAGCATCAAGGCGAGCTACATCAACACCAAGGACCAGCTTGCGGACCTGCTTACCAAGCCTCTTGGGAGGATCAAGTTCCTTGAGCTCTGCTCCAGGACCGGGATGGTTCAACTTTCCCACAAGACGACGCACAAGACTTAGGGGGAGAATGATGGATAAGTCTCTGTGTTGGCTGATCTTTGTGGGGCTGTTTGTGGGGCTGCAGCATGGTGGTCTTGCTGCCCATCAAAGACAGCATACTTGACTGGCTAGGACAGCATTTTAGCATCTAGGATAGCATCTAGGACTAGCATCTAGAACAACATCTAGGACTAGCATCCTATAAATATGTATCCCCAACCCCTCAGGTTGGCATGGCATTATGTGAGAAATAAACCAGAAAATTGCCCCAACTCCTAGTGTCATCATCTCTCGATGAGAGTAAGAATTCTGCTACTACCAAGATTGAGAATTCAGCGACTAACATTTCTCACCCTTCTCAGATGATGAGATTCATTGAATGGTGGATAAAGATCATTTCTTCCTTCCCCCAAGGACTTCAAGCATGGCTTGAATTCGCTGATTACCCTCGGTGCTTGGATTAGGAAACATTACAATTGTGTGTGTAATGGAGCTGTTCCCAACATACAGTTTGTGTTTAGGAATATCCTCGAAGAGGTTCTGTCATGGCAAGTGGGCTGGTCCTGGCCCTGATTTGTTCAGATTTGTTAGCATATAGAATTGATTTGTTACTTTCCTTAGATAAGATTTATTTGGCATGTTTGTTAGGTGCCTAGCCTATAAAGGCCATGAGGCATATGTTGGGCAAGCAGAAATAGATCTAAGCAGCAGCTGAGAGCCTCCATAGGGAGGGCAAGTTAGCCGATCTATCTGCTGTTCTTGTATCCCATTCCCTAATCAATCTACTACAACAGGCTCAGCTTTGGTGCATTGCTGGCGCCAAGGGGCTAGCCTGATTAGAGGTAGCAGCCAGTAGAATATTGGATTAGATGTCATCGTATCGTGTTCTTTGAAGAAACAGGCACGAATGTAACTCTCTAATACGTGCAGCTGTGCATGGGGTGTGCCATGTGTTTTTGGGTGTGTTGTTGTACTTGCAGCTCTCCTGCGTATTCGAGAAATAAAAGGGTGTATATTTTAGCCGCACCTTTCCAATCAAAACATCAACAGGCAGTTTTGCCAGATGATACCCAAGAGGTGACAACTCTTCATGTCCTTCAAATGCTCCGACCTAGACAAAACAATAGCAGCATAGCCATAGAGTTTGCTTGAGAACAGAGAACTAACGAAAGAAAAGCCAAGATTGCGATGCATACTTATGCTTCTCACAATGCATTCATGTATAATGGGTTAATAAACAGAAAGAGAACACGACCTTGTATAACAAGTCAACTGCAGAGGAAATAGCTTCTTCATTAGGGGGCTCTACTGCCTGGAGCAAAACAAGATAATATGTGATAACAAGGAATGACATGTATAACAACAGAACTAAAATAAATATAGCTACTACTAATTACGTCGCAACAGACTCTACAAAAAGGTGCACATGAACTCAACCTTTCTTGCAAAAGTTTTTTTGAACATTAAATACAGCAGGGGAGGCCCCCACTGTAGAATGTGATGAGATCAAAAGTAAATGGTGAAAAGCAGAGGGAAATATACCTTTAGCAGGAAGGATTTGATGTCACCAAGATGAAGTGATTTTATTTGCAGGCACAGCTCAGTCAAAGGCATCCGTAGCATCTCAGGCACCTACAAGCATGTAGAGTGAACATAAATTCCCAAAGACTATATGTGCTATTTATGAAAATCTTGATAGCCTTGGCCAATGATATTAACTAGCTCATTTGTGTCATAGAAAAGCATATTTTTCATATCTTGCAAATTACTACTATAACCATATGCAGAGAATGTGGGTTTGCAAATTGCAATCGATTGGCATAACTGCCCTAAAAGAGTTTGATTGATATATTGGAGATGGATTAGCAGGGTGAGATAGCAAACAAGGAAACGGAAAAGCTTATAAGAACAAAAAAATCACCATATAATGAATACTGAAAAGGTCAAGGTGCCATGAAAGATAACTGGCATATATGAGTGGCAGAATAAGGGAACATTAGGAAAATATATATATAACTAATGCCAGTGGTAACCTGAAATGGCCGCATGATGTTTTCGAACCGATGCCTTGTATACAAACAGAAACAGAAACCAGGCTTCACACGACCAGCCCTACCCCGTCTCTGTTTTGCATTTGCACGAGAAATCCAATCTTCAACTATGCTTGACATTTTCTGCAAAGATAAAATAAAGCAACCAATAACAGACTTTATATTATATCTAAAATCAATGCTGATTATTGCAACTTCTAAGATTATATTGTTTCATAACTTACATTATGTCAACAGATGCATAAGGAAGTAACAAGAGCTCATGCACAAAAACTAGAACTGTCAAACTATGTAAACAATCATATTGAGCACCATGTGCATTTTACTTTGGGGCTCTTGGATAATGAATATAAAAGTCCAAGTGTGCAACCAAAACATGAGCTGAACACAATGTAGTACGCATGGTAGAAGACTATAACTATGAATTCCACTATTAGTGTCAAGGCACCAAGCACTAGCCCATGTGTTCATTTACAACTTCTTTTCTATAGTGGGCCTATGTTGTTTTTATGGAAGTGTAATACAAGAAGCAAAATCTATTGGTTACAGCTCCAGAAGAACAAGTAGAAAATGAAACTCTGGAAGTGCAAGCATCACTGAATAAAATGAATGCTGAACAGATGGTTTAGGGACCTGAGGGGAATTTTTGGAGTGTTAGATAGACCAGCTAGTGCTGTGTCTTTATTTAACTCTAATATATCAGCCAGAGTCACCGGGAACATTAAACGGCGTTGCATTCCTGGTCCCAGGAACAATCTTGTCCCTGACTCGTAAAAACATTTCTCAAGTAACACAGGAACTTGGCGACATAGGAATTGCGATTACCTTGTATTTTTTTCGCACAAACTACTGAAGGACTCACCCCAAATGCTTTAATATCTAACCCGTAAAACATTGTTTCAGCAAAAACAATGTTAACCACAGCGTTATCATGGACAAATTTGCCAAGTGCTCTTTCAGTAAATCTGAATTGCACCATTCGTCAAATGAACCATAAAAAACTTCTAGAATATAGAAATCCATAGGAAAAGATTATGCAAATTGTAAATCCTGTCATTTTCCAAAATTATAGGTAAAAATAAGAGAAAACTGACCTTGCGTGGATTATAACGGTTCTCCTTGTGTTTTCCAGTATCAACTACTAGGGATGAAAACGGATCGGATACGAACGGATATCACTCATATTATATTTGTTTTCATATTTCTGTTCGGATTCGGATTCGGACACGGATAACGTTCGGATACATATACTGAATACATTGACTTCGATTACGGATATTGAATAATGAGTATCGAATACGGTATGAATCGGATTCGGAGAAGGTCGGATACAAATATCTATTCGGATATTGAGTAAAAGCAGCATATATATATATATATATATACGCAAGCAAACCATTACACCACTCTATGAGTCCATAATCTATCTAGATTAAGCCGAAAGACTAAAGAGTAAAGCAACAAATAAGATAAAGATACGGATACATCATACATCAAACATCATATAAGCACCAATCTTGGCAAGATGAGAGTAGAAATAGCCAAGCACATTGCTTCATGGGTCTCATGGAGTCATGGTCATGGATTCAAGATCTACAATCCTTATATAGGCCATTTTTCATTTTGAGAAAGTTTGAACAAAATGTAGTTCAAATTTCACAAGTGTGTGACATAGTTTTAGAAAGTCATGAGATTTAAGAATTTGTGACTAGTGTTTGATAAAACTTTCTCAAATGGGAAAATGAGCTATGTAACAATTGTATATCTTGTTTGAGATGATCAAACTTGGTATTCGAGTTTTTTCATCCGAGGTCATTTAGTGTCTCATTTGAGCAAGTTTGACCAAGTCGATTTGGTCAAATGAAAAAACAACTTTGACTCTAGTATTATGAACTCTAAATGACTTCAAATTGAAAAGTTTTGAATACCAAGTTTGTTCAACTCATCAAGATCTACAATTCTTGTTTTGGTCAACTTTCCATTGGAGATAGTTTAGACGGTTCAAATTTATGATTTTAAATTTCGATGCTTACAAACTAGTTTTCTAACCCTAGATTGTCTCAAATTGAAAAGTTTTGAATACCAAGTTTGTTCACTCATCAAGATCTACAATCCTTATATAGGCTATTTTCATTTGAGAAAGTTTGAACAAAATGTAGTTCAAATTTCACAAGTGTGTGACATAGTTTCAGAAAAGTCTATATGAGATTCAAGAATTTGTGACTAGTGTTTGATAAAACTTTCTCAAATGGGAAAATGAGCTATGTAACAATTGTATATCTCTTCTTTGATGATCAAACTTGGTATTCAGAGTTTTTTCATCTGAGGTCATTTAGTGTCTCATTTGAGCAAGTTTGACCAAGTCAAATTTGGTCAAATGAAAAACAACACTTTGACTCTAGTATTATGAACTCTAAATGACTTCAAATTGAAAAGTTTTGAATACCAAGTTTGTTCAACTCATCAAGATCTACAATTGTTGTTTTGGTCAACTTTCCATTTAAGATAGTTTGGATGGTTCAAATTTGTGATTTTTAAATTTTGAATAAATATCCGGATAATATCCGTTTTTAAATATCCGGATATATCCGATACTTATCCGGATTATCCGATATCCGCCGGATATCGATGATATTACATCCGTATTTGATATCCGCCTAAGATATCCGTTTTAGTATCCGTATCCGAAAAAAAAACGGATATCCGAGTAACTATCCAGATAAGTGTTCATATTTGTTCGGTCGAACGGACGGTCGAATAAATATCCGTACCGTTTTCATCCATATCAACTACATATATTACATCATCAATTGTAATGCTGGTCTCTGCTATGTCTGTGGCAATAATAACCTACAACACAACATGAAGTAAGATGCAGTAGGTGTCAGCCTGTGAGGACAGGAGTGGGCATAATCACCTTGCGGAAGTTATCTGGTGGAGACTGGAACACTTTCCTTTGATCAGAGGGTCCAAGTAGTGAATGTAAAGGAAGGATCCAATCAGATGATGCCCCTCCAAATCTAACTGAAGCAGATAATCTATCAATCAACAAGTCAATCTCTGCAACTCCCTGTAGCAGCATCAATGGAAGAAAAGAACTAAGATATATATTAGCAAACAAAGCAAAAGCTGATGCGGTGTCATCATAAACTTACAGGAAGAAAAACAAGAATAGCACCAGGAGGACAGTTCTCATCAATATAGCATATCAAGTCTTCCAATAGATCGAAATCAATCACATCTTCATTCAAGCGTTTCTGTGTTAACAACAGAAGATTCAGTGAGAACAAAAACATTATTAGAGAAGAAGGATGCCATACATATGGATCAAACAATGGAACTCACTAGATTTTGGTTGGTTCTCTCATTATATGACTTATAGTAATCAGAAATATAATGAGGGTTAATATAGCCTTCAGAAAGCGTTGACTCATCGCCCCATGAGGATAAGACAAGGTTCCTTTTTCCTCGACGGTTATTCACTGAGCTGCTAGCATGCTTCCACTGGAACAGAATCAAACAGATTAAAGGTAAGTATAGCATTGATGATCAGAGACACAATAAATGCCTGTTAGCACAGCTCAGCTCCAAGATTTTTTTGAAGCTACATCCCTAGCTCCAGAGATTCTTGGGGCTGGAGCTGTGGGCACACAGAACGTATTTGGTTGAACAATTTAGTTTTTTTCTCAAACACGCAGGAGAGCAGCGTATCTTTGTATTAAGAAGAAAGTTGAACGATTTAGTTATTACTTTGGATGAAAAACATGTGATTAAACCACTTCATTTTATCCAATAAACTACAAATCCTGCATGGACCTCAGAGATGAAACTGTGCCAAACAGGGCCTAGTATAATGGATGTCAACTGGTTAGCTCTTAGGATAAGAAGGGCAGCGACAGAACATACCATTGTGAAAAAACATAACATACTCTTTCCCCTAAGATAGCACTATGTATCAAACAGGGAAACCCCAACTTAACTATAACTTTATTAGAAAAGAAGTTGCAGGACCAACAAGATTTTTCATACTTTTGTAATATAAGTGTATAGATAGAACTGTTAGATACGTATATATCTAGGGGTCTAATTGTATATAGCTTCTTGTAACTGAAGTCACTTGTTTCGCTATTCTCTACAAGAACACAGAGGAAGAATATAATGAGCAATAGGGACATATACAAGATTTAGCTATCCAAATGAAAGTGAAACAGTAATAAGCATAGGGCTCCAACTAATGAAGAATGTGTACTCTATCTATTGTGAGCTGTCCTGTGTATTTGAGAAAAAGAATTGGGAATATGAAACCTTTTCCCCATGCTGTGCGAAGTATGCTCCTGATGCAGGAGAATCCAATGCAAGACAGTACTCCATTTTCTCATAAACATCCTCAAGGAAGTGAGTTGACACTGGATGTGTTCTTCCTTCAACACTAATCACGGGGCATTCTCCAAAATATCGTGCAAATAGGCTTGAATCAACCGTCGCAGACCTAATTAATGATTATAAACAGAATGGGAATAAAACAAGATTAGAAGGGCAAAACAGTAAGAAAGTGAATGCAAAATTTATATAAGTAGTAAAAATATTAAACGGGAACAATTTTACATGAGAATCACTTTCAACTTCCTTCCTTGTTGATTGGAGCGTTTCTCAACGAGATTCTTAAGAACAATAAGCAGGAAGTCACTCTGAAGGGAGAAATAAAGATCGTTCAAGTACCTCATCCAGCATAGGAACATATTAGACGTTTTGTAACATGAAAACGGATAAAACACATGAATACATACCAAAATTGTACGTTCATGTACTTCATCAACAACAACATGAGTAACATCACTTAAGTCTCTGTTTCCCTGAAACATATAGCATGGATAACAAATCATATTTTAGCAATTATTAAGGCATGATCTGAAATTGGATCCCTTCTTTTCATTAGCTGAAAGGCTTATATAGAGGAAAGGCAGCTTCACTTTAACCATATCAGACCAATGAAAAACTGATATCACCTTTATATGTGATTTAAAAAATGCATCAAATGTTAACTATTATGCGTATGAAGGCACTACTTACAGACAGTTTTCTAAGAAGGATACCAGTAGTACAGAACAAAAGCTTTGTCCTCTCATTCCTAAAACAATAGAAAACATTAGACATGGGTAAGCCCCTACTGTGGTATATATATTAGATATAAACCTTAAAGGAAAATAGGTAAAAATAACAAGGAAAATCCCAGGGGGTAGCACTCAAGAGTTTACACCCAAGAGAAAAATATCAGAGATATTATATACAAAAGAAGTTATTATGCTTATAAAGCCTGTGCATAGAACCTGTGCATATGAGAAAGAAACAAACCGTGCACTGTCAAGACGAACTTGATATCCGACCAGTGAATCATTCGATCCAGGTGACGATTCACACCTTTCATCAGATACTCTTTCGGCCACAGAAATAGCCTATACACGTAGACCAATCCAAGTTATATTTGACTAGATCTGTTTGATCAAATAAAGGTATGGGGTGGTTTGTGATCATGTAAAAAGTAAAGTTTGAAGCTTTAGCAAATATGGAAAGAGTGATCACCACAACAAATGGTCTCCTGATAATGCAATATTTCAAAAGTTGCAATGTGAGATGCAATATATAGCATTGCAAGTGATTTCATTAATAAGGCATGCAACTTTCGCATAATACCATTATTAATTTTATGATGATGATCTCCTGAAAGAAAAGATAAAGAACTGGACTGTGATCATACCGCTATCCGCCGGGGCTGTGTGCAAACTATATTGCAAGAACCTCCAAGTTCAGATTCAATCATGTCATCCAAAATAAACTGTGGCACCTGCAAAGAGGAGAACAGAGACAATAATGCATATATCACAAAACAAAAATAAAATCCGTTTGATTCAAAAATGGATATTTACAATGATATTAGTTGGTTAGCAGTGTTAAGTGTTAACTCTACCCAAAAAAAAAAAGCGCCAGCCACTGCTAACGGCTTAAGGCCAGCTACCAGCCTTACTGGTTCAGTTTATGTTTATCCTAACTTTGACACGGAAGATTCAATAGCCTGGTGGGGACAATGTGCACTTGCAAAGCACAGGCTGAAGGTTGAGCTCCATCCAACTTCTGATTGCAAATTAACCATTTGAAAGCTTGGGATATACCTAGATATCTATGTTTGAATAGGAGTGCTTGGAAAGCAGCTATTGAAGTGCCTGAACCGTGACTTGGGGCTTTGGTGGGTTTCAACTCTAACCTACCCCAACTTGCTTGGGACTGAAAGGCTATGTTGTTGTTGTTGTTGAAGTGGGTCCTGCAGGGCTTCATGTAATTGTTGTGCCTTGGAAGAAATATTGAATAGCTATGTGAGAACAGAATCCACGACCAGAACCTTGCCCAGGATAGACAAGAGGGTAATGGCTGTGGTAGCTAATGCATCGTGTTGTCATCTCTGACTTCTGCGTTAGAGACCAAAATTCAAATGAAACCATTTTTTTCTTTTTGCCAGTTCATACAGCTATCAAGTCCCACAGGTAACTGCAGGTACTGAGGTACCATAACACAATCCCAAAGGTAAAAAATGGTATAAATGGCACGTCCATATCATGACCTCATGAGTATAAAACTTTGTGCTGGATGTATAAACAATATACATCCATGCTTATTACAACAAGCTTGTTCAACACATCAGGTATAATTGCTTTAGAGGGAAAAGTATCAATTTTGGCAAATAAGTGGAACTTCAGAGAAACATATCCAAGACACTGCTAGTTTGAGAGAGAGAGAGAGAGAGATATCACTCTTAGACTTAAAACAGGCAATGGCAAGAAATGAAACGGCAATGAACAAAAATATTGGGACTGCATGACTGCATATGCCATAATCATGTACCCCTCCTTATGATTCAACAATAATTTGAAAAAAAAATATTCCAAAGAAGACATACAAGACTGAAACAAATTGTCTATATAATGTACTAATCTACAGCAGAGATATGGTTTTATGATATGATGCACAAGATGCCTTCCACTCAGAATAGTCAATTGGTAATGACAATTGACATTCAAGAAGGAAACCATTACCACGGAGCATAACAATAGTGGGGAAGAACTCAAATAGAATGGTATCACAGGTACCTGAGTTGTTTTCCCACATCCAGTTTCTCCACTAACAACAACTACATCGTTCTCTTTCAGCAACTGTAGGAAGTGTTGCTTCTGTCTAGCCATTGGTAGAGAAGCTCTTGCTTCCAGCATTTTCTAAATTCAAGGCAAAAACAAAAAATCATTAGTATAACAATACAAAAGAAGCAGTGCTTAATTCTAAACAAAAAAAATACTGTTATTAGATTGCAAATCCATTGCTTACCAAGTAATTTGGTAGCTTCCTTTTATCTTCCAACTGCTTTTTCAAAATTGCACTCTCTGCATGCTCTGCTGATTTCAATCCTATTGTGGAAGAAAAACAAATCACATTTTAATTATTAACCGATAGAAGAAACAAAACTACAAAAATGACAGGAAGCTTTAATCATTTGACCATTTCAATTAGAAGTGGGAATATGAGAAACTGTAGGAATATGATAGGAAATCAAATCTTATAAAATAGAAGACATGAATTTCGATAGACAAATTCACGATTCCATAAAGTGGCAAGGAAACAGATTCCATATGATAGCAACCTTATTGATGCCCACTGCCCACAAAGTGCAAGGAAATGAAGAAGGTAATGTAATTGTTCAATATGCTACAAAGAAGTAATATGTCTGTCATGAATGACAACCTAGCATGTCTTGGAACTTGGAAGGGGAAAACGATAATCATCCGTAGGCAAGATTGCTTGTGACATTATTCTGAAATATGTAAATGGTCTGAATCTGAAAGCTTACCCATACAACTCATCATGGTAGTCTGTCTCTTCTCATTCATAGATTTGCTGCCTTCAGTATTCACAGAATCCATAGATATGCCATCAGTAGAAGAATTTTCTATTTCAGATGAAGGAATTGTATCTGCATCAATATTCAATAACATGTCTACAAAGCCAGATCTTCGGCTATCCTCAGTATCCAGCACCCTTGATGTAGACGACAATTCACCTGTTTTATGAAAACGTGCAATTTGTAGCTCAAAGACCATTTATGATGCTCAAGCCATCACATAAGAAAACCTAAACCAATAGTTCCAACCTTCTTGCCATCTTAAAATAAGTGATGAGTATGGCTCAGTAAGCAGTTGGCGTAGTGGAAGGTCAGCAAAGAATTGATATAGAGCAAAAGCTGCAACTCGACTTTGTGCTTCCTGTTCATAAATTCAGTTTAATAATGGTACTTCAGATAAGAAGAATAAGATAATATTCTATTGTGATTTGTTATGAACTGATATCTCAGTGTATTCATTCGAGAGAAAAATATCTCAGTGTATCATGTACGTATAATGATAATTATTATCATGGAGAGAAGTTGCATATCAGAATAATAATTAGCTGACCTAAAGTATTTGTAAGAAGCGTTATCATACAAAGTAACAGAAAAAGTTGTAACCTGAACAAATCCATATTCTTCGTCTAGTTCAGGTAACTGGATTTTCGTCAAGCCTCCAGCCTTCCGACTCTTACCACGGCCAGTAGCTCCCCGCAACACATCAACAGAATATACAAATTTACCATCTCTCTCAGATATTTTATTATACTTTGGAGCTTCCCAACCAAGCTTTTGACAAAACTTTTGTAGAACAGCTTTCGGCATTTTACCAGAATCTCCCTGTAGTTGAGCAAACGAAAAGAACGGTTAGAAAATAGTGCATAGCAGAAGCACAAATCAAACATGAAACATGTCCCGTCAATATGAAGAAAAAGTAAAAAGGCACTTGGACCTTCTTCCATATATCATCTATGTTTCCAAGAAGATGGCCATAACCATCATGCGATAATTTCTCTATTTGTTGCTGTTTCAAGATTTCTGGAGCCACTGCCTCCCAAGCAGATGAGTCTTCAAAGAACATGTTATCAAGCTCTACCACCTCTTCATCTACCTCCTTTGTACAAGTTTTATCCATATCCTTAGGAATTGCCTTTTTCAAATCAGATCCTTCATCAATATTGCCTAGATTCTCAGATCTTTTCTCACTTGCCTCTAAATCATTTTGAACACCCTCGACATTTGCAGTTTCAGAATTTGAAGATACAGAATTGGCAGAATGGCTTATTTGTTCCTTCAAGCTTCCATGCTTGGAATTCTTTTTTGCGGCTGTAAAGTGTGGGAGGGAATCACATCAGTGTTAACTATCGACTATCTAAACTTCCAAAAACTTGTCAGGGCCATGTAAGTAAAAACTAGTAGACAATATATGTCATAGTTACAGCATGAATAAGCAAAGTTACCCTTGCTCTTCCGCCTACTTGGTTTTGCTTCGACAACTTCAAAACTTTGTAAGCAGTGATCTTCCCATGTGGAGGAATCATTGGAATTTGCATCATCCTCCTAACAACAGTGATATCCAAAATAAAAATTATACCAAGAAACATGATATTAAAAGAAAGGAAAAGGAATAACAGTTAACAGAAAGACTTGATAGAGGAAAAAAGTGGTAGAGGAATCATTTAATTGATTGTGAAATTGTATGCATAGGATATTCCAATGTTGGGTACATGCAATGCTAGTATCAGTCGTACATTTATAATATATTGCTATAATCCCTCGTATACATCGATACCATTCTAAGTGAAAGGTGTCATGTTTTTCATAATTTTCCCATTCATGTGTAAAAAGATCATTTAGATTAACCACAAGAAAATAGCATTAGTAGATGTATCATCACAAGGACTTACATTCTATTACATAATGTTTACTGGTATGGAGTTATTACAAGTAATAGTCAAAGCTACACATTGGAGTTATCGCTCGCTGGTGTCCCTAGCTTGGAACTTGGAAAAACTCATATGCTTTCTTTATAAGCAGGGTATTACCTCGTTCTACAAAAAACTACACATTGGAGACCATGTCAACATCTAAAACTGCAGTGAGGATAGTTAACAGATTGAAACAAAAGATAAACCATGAGTGAAAGAGATAAGAAAAGACTTAAATTGTTGAGAAACACAGTTCTCAGTGAACAATAGTTACCAACTTGTATAACCATTTTTTCAAACAGTACAAAACATTGTGCTACTTAGATTAGCACAACAAATCAATTATCTGTCTTCTAAACTGTAAGTTGCAGAAGTTAGTATCCATGGGAAGTTCAGTACAACCTGAGAGAAGTATAACAGAACGATACAATTGCAGACTAAGCAAGCAGACAAAAAACATAACATTAACAAAATCCAATGGCTGTTCAAAGAGTACTAAGAGATGATTCGATTCAAGTGATAAATTTACTTGTTCATTCATCTATACCTCCTCTTGCTGTTCCATGTATTGACGAATCCATGCAGCTTGCGACGATCGCCCATCATCCAGTGACACATTCTCATCTCTCCGCCCACCGATTCTAACTTCCAACCCCTCAGTGCTCACCTTCACCTCCTCAGGTTCACGACTCTGTGGCACCCAATTGTCCTTGGCTGTGGACAGTACTTTAACAGAACCTTCAGCTCCTACAACACATACAAACAATGCAATCATTACATGATTCCAGCATGAAAGGGCAACGCCTAATTAATCAACCAATCAGCGCCTCTGAAGATGAAGCTTAAGGTATAATCGTATAGACTACATAATGGAGCCACACCAAGGAAAGGAGCATCGAACAGAACATAAATATAGAAGACAAACAGAGGAAGGAAGCGAATCTTCCTCCTCCATATTGAGATCCTCTTCCTCTTATTATCCCTGTGATTGCTCACATGGTTCAGGTTGATGTCACTGGTGGCCACGAGTGTGACAGCCACTTCATCACAGATAAAAAAAAAAAAGTAAATCGCAGAATGCAGGCGGATGATCAATGATGTAAAATCCGTTCTATGTACACATGTAGGAGAAAAGTCACACATCGCAAATTCATGTTAAAGAGCACCCAAGTAGACTGATGAGAACACAAGCACACGCACAGAGAAATGTGTGTACACATGTTGAACCATTCATCGCCTATAAACCTTAAACCCTTGAAATTTCATACCTGCGAGAGAGGTGGTGCTGGTGCCAGCGCTGGAGAACTTGAGGGGGAGCTCATCGCCAGGCAGATTAAAGCATAGCCAGTCCAACGCCGATTCAAACGTCGCCGAATCCTACCTCAGAAAAAAACAAGACACACAAAAGGAAAATCATCAGCTCATAGCCAATACGAACATACGGTCACATCATCGCCGTGAGGTTCTAGGAACGCTCGAGGATACGCACGGGTATCGCGGAGAGCGCCTGCTCGATTTGCGCGGAGGAGAAGCCCTCGAGAGCGAGCTTGTCGTACACGCCACGCAGCCGCCGCGCCTTCTGCTCCCTCGACTCGCCGCGGGCTTCCGGGCCGTCGGCAGGTGCCGAGGAGGGGGTGGATGCTGCGGAGGAGTTAAGGAGGAGGAGGCGGAGGCGGCGCTCGTTCTCCGACGAGATCTGGAGGCGCGGCGCGGCGGTGGCTGCGGATGAGGAGGACTTGGGCTTCTGCTTCTGCTTCGAGGCCGGCTGCTTCTTCTTCGGCACCATTTGGCCACAGCCGTGCGGAGTGCGGGCGAATGGGCGATCGTCTCCGGCGACGGCGGGCTTTCGGAATTCCGCAACTGCGGAGTACTTGGGGGTACGGAAACGGTGACGAGCAGCAGTTCCCGTTCTGGTTGCTGATATACGTTGGGACCCACGTGTAAAGCCCTCTCACAGGAATCAAGAGTCAGGTTGGCCGAATTTTTTTTTGTTTTTAGCCCCTTTTTTTAAGGTTTTTCATAAATATGCCCTTAAAGCATAAATACACCCCTGGAGGTATGCTTTCAAAATCTGGACTCTTAACTCGACGCCATCGTTGGTGGCGCCGAGCTTATACGTCTCGGCGCCATAGATTTTGGCGCCTAGGTCTTAGGCTCGACGCAGACGTGGCGGTGACTTGGCAGGCACCTTGGCGCCGTAGATCTTGGCGTCAAGCTTGGCGCTGAGCTAGGCGCCATGTTTATTGTCGCCAAGCCCTGTCTTGTGTATGGGCCCTCCATTTCTTTCTCTCTTCCTCTCTCTCTCTCCCGAGCTGAGACCACCACTGGCATTCAAGACTGTCAAGCTTCGTCAGCCACACAGAGTCTGCCCCGGCCGTCCATGCATGCCCCCCGCCTTGCATGGCTTTGCACACGTATGTGCTTGCCATTCAGGGTGTCTGCATCATTCATTGTCATCGCCTGCGCCAGCGGAGCGCCGGCCGTCCATCGCCTGCCACATGCCTTAGCTAAGGCTCGGCAAGACTTTTGCTGCTGGCCCATGGTCTTAAGGCCATCGCTCGCCTCGTCTGTCTGGGCGGCTGCGTCCGCGTCGCAGACGATATAGCGCTCCCTCCCTCGGCGACCTCGGCCGTGAAATGCCCTGCTCCCAGGGCCATGGCCACTGCCATCGATCGATTCCTCTCCTCGTCCCGTCTGCTCTCCCGGTCCCTACGTCCGCGTCCACGTCCCCGTCCTGCTCCGCCTCGCCCGACCCCCGAGGGTGGGGGTTGGCTCCGCCTCGCCCGACACCGAGGCTGCGGGCTCCGCCTCACCCGACACCGAGGCCACGGGCTCCGCCTCGCCCGACACCGAGGCCATGGGCTCTGTCTCGCCCGACCCTCGAGGGTTGGCTCCGCCTCGCCCGACACCGAGGTCGTAGGCTCCGCCTCATCCGACCCCCGAGGGTGGCTCCGCCTCGCCCAACCTCTAAGGGCTGGCTCTGCCTCGCTCGACCCTTGGATTTGGGCTCCACCTTGCCCGAGCCTTGGGTTTGCACTTCGCCTCGCTCGGCCTCTGGGGAGGAACTCCGCCTCGCCCGACCCCAAGGCCGGGGGCTCCGTCTTGCCCGACGATGACCCATATCGCCCCCGACCATTCTAGGTCCAAACATATGGGCCTGGGTCAAAGCTCTGACACCAGGGAGGTGACCGGCACGCCCCGATGTAACCCATGGCCGTGACGGGCCATATCTGATGATTCACATGAGGAACAGCATCGGGCGAACCGGTGCTGTTCTGCCTAACCCTCGTACGAACACTAACAGGCACGTCAGTTCACCACGACACCCGCCAAGACGGAGTGGAGCACCATGACCAGGAGATGATGCCTACGCATGGCGCCAGTGATGGATAGGGCCACGACGTGAAGCTATCCCTGTTGATGTCTACAGGGTTGGCGAGGCCCGCATAGAAGAGAAGGACCCGGCGATCTTGGAGGACTTCTCCTTCTGATTCTCATTTTTTCCTTCGCTGTAACCCCTGCTTTCCCTTGGCCTATAAAAGGGAAAGCAAGGCATCCCATTAGGGAGTATCGGACCAACGATCGAAACTCATCGCAACGCACCACAAGAGACTCGAATACGATCAACTCATCGAATCCTGAACATACAACCGAGCAGCGACCGAGCTCTCGGCACCTGTTCACCCTTTCCATCAGAGACTTGGGACCTATCTCTCTCTCGTCCGTTTGTAACCCCTACTATGAACTTTCAGTGCTAGTGACATGAGCGGCAGCAACGAACTAGATGTAGGGACATTCTGTCCGAACCAGTATAAACCTCGTGTCCTCTTAGCACACCATCCGAGATAGATGCACAATATTAGAAATTTACTAGCTGGTGGCAACTCAAAACACCGACGGTTGGCATGCCATGTAGGGGCCTTTTGCGCATCTCGACATCCATACCAGGCCTCGGATGGCTAGTCACAACCTCGGCTGGGTCCCGGGCACGCACGTGCGCTTCGAGGACCTAGACTTTATCGTCACGATGGAGGGAGAGTTGGCGATGGCTACCGCCGTCGTCCGACCTCTTCACTCCACCGAGGCGCTTGAGGAGCTACAGCTGCACGCCCTAGAGGCCCGCGCCCCCGGAAGCAACTAGCTCCTCAACTTCAACTATGGGAGACTTGAGCGCCAGCTCAGCGTCTTTCTAGGACCCCGGTCGTCCTAGGAGGACCTGTGCTACCTCACCTTCTCGTTCGCCAACATCATGGCATAGCTTACCGGAGGGGAGCCACTCTCTTTAGAATACCTCATCCAGAGCGCCTCAACAGCGCTCCCGTTCGATCTCCGCAACACTACAGAGACCGATGGCCACCCTGTGGCGCAATGCACGCCTCTATCCCCCATGAATGATGAGTTCATGGGGATGACCAAATATGTCATGGAGTCTTTCCACAACCTCCTCGCTAAAGAATCGGAGTCACCCTTCAGGCTCTGACTCCAGCAGGAGGAGTCATCACCCCTCTCGTGAGTGTTTCATGGCAGGTACCCTCAAGGGACACGTCGAAAGCATCCACGAAGGGGAGGCTACCCCGACGAACGACCTCGACGATGAGGTCGAGGGGGTGATAGGGGCCCACCCCACCTACGGGTGGAGCGGCTAAAGGCCCGGCACCTAGAGCTCGAGGAAGCAAGACGCCAGCTCGAGCAGGAATGCGCGAGCTCGATCGAGAGATCGAGCGCCATGGAGACGGTGGGCGTGCGCGCGCCATGGCCCATGACGTGAACCAAAGGATCATCACGGACGATGAAGCCCTCCCACACTTCGCCCGGGCGAGCCAGAACATCGTCGCTGCGGCGGCCTTGCTCCATGGGCTTCTAGGGCCTATGACACCCGAGGATCATCGGGCCCACCATGAGATTCTCATGCTGCTCGAGCGTGCGGTGGCGCAGTAGGCCGAGAGCTCGCTGTCTTGGTGATGCAAGCTCGATGCCAACCAGCGCATGCCCTTAGAGTGACCCAACAAGGATGCGTCAGTCCACCAGGCGTTGCGAGGTAGTAGACTGCGCACGCGGTCTCGGTGGATGAGCGTCTCGGTCGCAATCGTGATGCACACGACACCCTCAACGCCCATAGGCGTTCCCGCAATGATCCAAGGGAGGGAGCTAGCCGCAGTTACCACCCTCATCATGGCGAACGCTATGACAGCGGCGAGGATGAAAGCCTGAGCCCTGACCTGCCAGGACCTTAGGCCTTCGGCCGACACATCCTCAATGTCACCTTCTCGTCAAGGTACCGACCACCAACCAACATCTCGAAATACTCTTCATTATCCACAACCTTCCATTGTTCCTGGCCGACTCGGCACGAACATGGTTGGAACACCTTCCGCCCAATAGAGTCCAAAGTTGGGTGGACCTGAAGGGGATCTTCGTGGGGAACTTCCAGGGCACATACAAGTGCCCTGGTAATCCATGGGATCTCAAAAACTACCGACAGAAGGCCGGGGAAACCCTTCATGGGTATATCTAGCGCTTCTCTCGATAGTGCAATGAGCTGCCTAACGTCGCCGACACCAATGTTATAGGAGCTTTACTATCTGGGACCACCTATGAATCCCTGGTTCACAAGCTAGGGATGTAAGGGCCTATGAACCACCAAGGAGCTCCTCAACATCACCACCAGCCATGCCTCGGGTGAGGAGGCGGTCAGAGCAATCTTCGACCGCCTCAAGGGCAAGGCAAAACATGACGAGGACGCCTGTGAAGACACCTCCAACCATCCCATCAAGAAGAAGAACAAGCAGCGGCGCGAGGGCTCGCTTCGTGGCCGCCGCCGACCGTAGGGGGGGTTGGAGGCCCGCAGAGGGCACCCTGAACCACTTCGAGAAGCTACTCGAGGGGCCATGCCCGAACCATGCCTTCCCCATCAAGCATATGTATAAGGATTGCGGCCTCATGAAGCGATTCTTGTCCGGAGGCTCCAACAAAGTGGAGCATGGGAAGGACCCCAACCCAACCGTGAATGACGTCAAGGGGAAGGACGGTGGCTTTCTGACGCTGGATGGCTGCCTCGTGATCTTCGGAGGGTCGACAGCCTATGACTCCAAGCGCCATTAGAAGCTCGTGCGCTGCGAGCTCTATACGACTGAGCTGGCCACGCCTACCTTCCTTCGCTGGTCGAGTCCGCCATAACCTTTGATCGGACCGACCACCCGGAGCGTCCCGCAACCGGGGAGATACGCGCTCATGGTTGACTCGATCATCAACACAAAGTAGCTCACCAAGGTACTGATGGATGGAGGCAGCGACCTTAACATCATGTACGCCGAGACGCTCGACGCTATGGGCATCGACCGAGCGCACATCCAATCGACCGGAGCACCTTTCCATGGCATCGTACCTGGAAAGCAGACCATGCCACTTGGGTAGATCAATCTGCCTGTCACCTTTGGGGATCTGTCCAATTATAGGACGGAGACCCTCACCTTCGAGATGGTTGGGTTCTATGAAACCTACCACGCCATCCTAGGATGACCATGCTACGCGAAGTTCATGGCTATCCCCAACTACACCTACCTAAAGCTGAAGATGTTGGGCCCAAGTGGGGTCATCACCATCGGCACCTCCTTCCAGCGCGCCTACAAGTGCGAGGTCGAGTGCTACGATCACGCCACGGCAATCATCGCCTCCAAAGAGTTTGCGGCCATCAGGAAGTAGGTCACCGAAGAAGCATCCAACTCCAAGCGGTCGGCTAGGTCTTTCAAGCCAGTGGAGGGCACCAAGGAGGTCCTCATAGACCCC